TGGGTTCAGTCATTGCACTCTAAAAGTTGTTTAGAATATGAAACTTCATTTGTATAAATGATTTCAAAATACAAGGAAAGGAAACGCCGCTATGCAAATATATATATATATATATAATATATATATATATATATATATATATATATATATATATATATATAATATATATATATATATTATATATATATATATATATATATATATATATATATATATATATATATAATATATATATATATATATAACAAAACTTTCCAGCTAGAAAATTACAAAAATAAAGGATTTCTTTTCATATAATTCTTATCTATTCTTTTCTTGGCTAATGAGTTTCCGATATTTGTGTAAGTATATGCACATGTAGACATACAGTATGTATGTGTGTGTATGCATATGCATATACATATGTAGATATATATATATATATATAGTATATATATATATATATATATATATATATATATATATATATACATATACATTTCTTCTTTCTTTCTTTTTTTTTTTTTTGAGTGTGTGTGTGTGTCCTTACATGTGTATGTGTTTATGAGTATCTGCATTTTACACATCGCCACATTCGAAAGTCATTTTACTTCGACCTAAATCATCTTAGGAGTCCAAACACTGCCGCTCTTTTTTATATACACAGACACTGAGGTAATATAAATAATTAAATAAGTAAATAAATAAATAAATAAAAATGAGATGGAGAGATAACTGCGATGGTATTGATTGAAGATAAATCAGGAAAATTAATTCGATTTAATTCCGTTTCATTTAGGAGAGAAATTTATCAAGAAATTTTTTGAAAAAATTAATCATATTTTCTTTTATTTTCTCACGCTTACTAAGTCTATTTTAGCTTAACCGAAAATAAAACCTTTTGTTATGTATGGGGAACGTCGTCTGATTGAAAAACAGAAATGATAACTATTGAATAACAGCAAGTTTAAAGAAGTACTCTACACTTTTTACTTAAGATATAATATCATTCACCTCTTATTTAGTAGCAACTTCTGCTTAATGTAGGATAAATGATGAAATATAATGATGCATACCTACAAATTTACGGACATACCCCCCCCCCTCCCAAATGTCATGTTATTTCACTCACTGGTAACGATCCTTTAAGTTTAAATGTTTTGTTTTAGTTTTAAGTCTTTAGTGGCACAATGACAATCGTTATGGTAGTCGTGATAAACAATACTGTTTATGATAAAAAAAAATCATTGGGTGGGTGTGAATCTGTCTGTGAGATTTTTCTGTCAATTACCTCAAAAACTGTATGACACTGTATGCAAGACACTGCATAAAAGCTAGCAAGGACCCTCGACAAACAACAACACTAACGACTAAACCAATAACAACAACAACAAAAAATCACACAAGATAATCGCTCATTCTTCTAGTGAGGGTGAGAGGTAAATGAAAGTAAAAGACGGAGAGCAAAGGTCGATCAACCGCGACCCCTAGATAGATAGGAGTAGATAGGTACAAGTAGTAGATTAGATAGGTCATAGAATAGAAGATAGATAGGATAGATAGGTAGGTAGATAGATAGATAGGTATGCAGATAGATAGATAGGTATGTAGATAGGTAGGTAGATAGACAGATAGATAAATAAATGTACATTTTGACTGAGACTCAAAACAGGGCATTTGTGTGTGTGTGTGTGTGTGTTTTGATAATTTTCATTATTTTGATTATTTTGATTACCTCGATGACCGGTGAATGTACGGTATTTCTTTTATTATATATACATTAGTAACAGATGATGCAATAGTGATCATAATGACAACAATAATGATATGATTATCATAATATTGATACGTCAGATGCCGTTGGTGTTACTGATATCGTTATCGAGAAAAATGTTTCAGCTCCACCAAAATGGACATAGGTGATAAACGATAATGATGATGATGAGATAACGATAAAATATATTAACCATACATCCTATTAACACGCCAAATACCCGGGATAATGGAGAAAATACCCGCTTCGATTATATCTCAGTCCTTATCAGGTAATCTCTCTCTCTATTTATCTCTCTATCTATCTATCTATCTTTTTTCTCTCCCTTTCTGTCCCTCTCTCTCTCTATCTATCTATCTATCTTTCTTCTTATCTATCTCTCTCTCTCTCTCTCTCTCTCTCTCTCTCTCTCTCTCTCTCTCTCTCTCTCTCTCTCTCTCTCTCTCTCTCTCTCTCTCTCTCTCTCATCCTATTTTCTATCAATTTTCACCCTACAGTCGAAAAAAATATAATTCTCTCGGGCACGGAAAAAGGGGTATGGAAAGTAGGCCTACGCAAAACGAGACCTAAACATGACATAATTGCCCCATTACGGTATAATTACACGGCGATAACATCTAGTCCCCGAGAAGGCAGTGCCGGTGGGCATCTACCCCCCCCCCCCCCCCATCACCCCTCTTCCCTCCCTCCTTTTCCCTCCTCCTCCTCCTCCCTCTTTTTCCCTCCTCCCTCTCAACCGGACCACATTACTGCCTAATTATTATGACTACTCGCCTAATTACTCTCGGGGCATCTCGGCGAGCAGGTGCGGCGGCGGAGTGCGATTAGGCCTTGATTAATGGCGCCCTTAACGAAGAGGGGGCCGGGGGGGGGTGGGGGGGTGGGGGGAGGGAGGCGACGCTTACACGCTCGTCACTTCGTTCTGGAATTCATGGCCGCCGTCGCCTCGTCTCTGTCCGGATCTGGAGGCGGCTTCGGATGTGCGCCGGACGCTTATGAACGGGAATGCATACGTGCACAAAGTGTATATATGTGCGTGTTTATATACATGTATATACGTATACAGGTATGTGTGTGTGAGTGTGTATATATATATATATATATATATATATATATATATATATATATATATATAATATATTATATATATAAGTGTATATGTGTTATATATATATATATATATATATATATATATATATATATATATATATATATATATATATATATATACGTGTGTGTGTGTGTGTGTCTTAAGTAAATTCCCAAACATTCAAAGAAATAAAATATAAATACCTTCATTGACTAAACTGAAAAGTATCACGTGATCTTTGTCAAGTGTTCGCCGTAAGTCAATAATTTTTCTCCACTTTATTAAACGTTGCTGACAAGGGAAATGTAATATGTTATCAAAACATCACCAATTATTATATTTTTGTTATTGTAGTAGTAGTAATATGAATACTAATAATCTTAATGATAATGAGGATATATTAATATTCATAATAACTTCATCTATAATACTAATAAAATTTATGCAATTAGTAATGTCTCGAATTATAATAAAATGATACGAATAATATCTACAAATGATAATCATTTACCCATACGAATAACACCGATAATCAAATGATAATACCAATAATAAACATAATCAATAAAATAAAATAGTCAATGACGAGTAAAAATTCATACAAATAAAAATCATTAATATCAATAACGATAATGAGTTGTCACTGTCAGGCCCACCGAGGGAAATGACAGAGGCTGACATTCGAGCTGACAGGGACTCCCTCCTGAGACAAGAACGTCAGCAAGCTACACCCAGACTGACGTTCATGATCTTGCAAGCACAGGAGGAGCAGGAACAGGGCGTCAGGAGCAGCTGCTGACCTTGGCCATGATTTAGTTTTGTTTTATTGTTTGTCTTTTTTTATTATTATTATTTTTTGTTATCTTTTTTTTCTTTTTTTTTTTATTTTTATGTTTTTTCTTTCTTTTTCTTGATTTTTTAAAATGTTTTTTCTTGTTTTTTGTTTTTCTTTTTTTCTGTTTTACTTCATCTGTTTTTTTTTTCTTGTTTTTTTTCCTTCCTTTTCTTTCTCTTCTTTTCATTTTCTTTTTCTTCATGGATGGGTCATTCTGTGTATAGGGAGGGGGCACGTGTGTGTGTGTGTGTGTGTGTGTGTGTGTGTGTGTGTGTGTGTGTGTGTGTGTGTGTGTGTGTGTGTGTGTGTGTATGTGTGTATGTACGACAGCATATACGTATGTACGTATGTATGCATATGTGTATGCTGTGGTCCTCTCCGGCATGTCCGTTGTGAGTCATGTTCTTGGACCACTAAAAACAGACAAGTTTTATAAAGGCATCGACTGCGAGATCATTTCCTGTTCTTCACAACCTCTAAATGATTTTGACATTGAAACGAGAAAGGAAGTAGAAGTGAATTTCAAAAGTTTGTCTACATACAAAGAATTACGTGTTAAAGGCCGTGTCACAGTAGCACTTTTCGTCAATTTTTTGACAATTTTTATTTAACATAATACAACATTCTCGAATATAACTCTTGATTTATTTATTGTTTTATTGATTTGGCTAAAAGAGTTGACGGAAAGGTTTTCAGAAGGAAAGGCATTATCGTCTGACTGGAGAATCGACAATTCGCTCAAAATGGAGAAAATTTCAGAAAATTGTAAAAAAAAATTGACGGAAAAAGTGCAAGTGTGACAGCACCTTTACTGTCCTAAGCTCTTGGAGACGACCAGTGACGACACGTGGCATCCACAAGAAATATTTGAATATAGGCTATGGTATTTGGACGGAAAAGTGCATATCAGTACCTGGGGCATTATATTATATATATATATATATATATATATATATATATATATATATATATATATATATATATATATATATATATTATGTATGTATGTATGCATGTGTGTGTGTGTGTGTGCGTGTGCGTGTGTGTGTGTGTGTGTGTGTGTGTATGTGTGTGTGTGTGTGTCCAGACATTAGAGCTTTAGTCACATGGGGGAAAGGGGAATACCTGTATTAATATTCAATGAAGGGGGGGCGGTGGTATTTACTCTTACATAAATAATCTTTTACAGGACAAACCTGCTTTGCGGGCGGGGGGGGGGGGGGTTACAGAGCCCCACGCAGCGGCCTTGGTCATCCCGCGCCCCGGCCGATCCCGGCTGTCGGGACTCGGGCTACGCCACTGCTAAAATATCTATTTCTATT